TTTTTAAGTTCATTTTTGTTTTAATTTTCTGATATTTTTCTAATTTATGTCTCGGTTCTCTCGTACAGGTGAATTGATTTTTGACCCTGAAATAGAAAAGATCACACGCAGAATGAGAAAATGTGACGCCCCCACTTCTCCTTAAGGCGAACCAAAGGGTATCCGTGGGACGCCGGCCCAACTCTCGCCAGGACTCGGTACAATCCACAATTCAAGACTAGGAATACTTCAAATAACTACAATACATAACTAAAGTACTCCAAAATATCTCACACTTGCAATTATGTAACTTTCAAGCTTAAATACAACCCAACGGAAAAGGGTACAATAGCCATTCGTTATAATATAACTTAAAATCTTCAAAAAAAAAACAATTTAGTACTACTCACGAGCACCCTTGGTTTCGAACCCTGTAAAAGAAAATCACAATGTGGGATGAGCTACACAGCCCAGTGATGTTCCAAAACACTCTAACAGTTCAAATAAATCAAGTAAGTTGGGCATATCATATGCATGGTTCAAGGTTACACAATGGCATGTTATCATGAGGTGATAATCATTATACGGTTAATTTGAGACATTCATCATGAGACAGTTATCATGGTTCAAGACATTGGCATGTATAGTTTATGAGTGATTGGAGCTTATTACATGTGCGAGTAATTATGCATGTTACAGGTATGGAGCATTAACATGAAACAGGTATCATGATATGAGTACATTGGACAGGTAACAGGTATGTAGCATATCACAGGCATGGCTCAAGATTTCATGTTGGCATTTTAGTATGAAACAATTATCATGATACAAGGTAAACATATACTGTAGGATACGGTGTTCTAGTGGAACTCTGTCGGTCATCTGCATCTTATGACTTCCGGATCCCCTCGATTTGACTGGCTATCACCTTATCCCTCCAGTGATAATACTCGAGTATATCGAAACGGTGGACCAGGGTTCCAACCTACTCGACCGATCCCAATCCTGGCTCGAGTAGGTCAGTAACTAAGGGCAGGGCCCAAATTCAGCTTAGAGCTTACAACATGCACAGATAACAAAGTAATTCAACAGGAGGTAAAATTCATCATTTGAGTAGGTCGAGTGAGGTAAAGTACACACTCGCCTAACAATGATAGACAGCTTCATATAACATGTGATTCATGATAATCAAGTAATCAAGTGGATACTTAGCACGTAAGCACGTAAGCAATACAAGTTAATTTCATGGGAGCATGTAATTCACGGATATCGAATAGTCATGTAGATTGGAAATCATGTTAGCAAATAGTCAAGTAATCAGGTAGTCATGTGGGTTGGTAAACGGTTCACGGTTAAAAGTTAACGGTTGAGTAGTGACGGTTATTTGATAGGCATTTGCCATATTGATAGGCCATCATTGGCCGTTATCCCAATTTTACCATGTGAGAGTCAAGGAGATTCACTCCAACGACGTATGCAACCTTAGCATACCAAGTCATGTTATTCGAGCATTTCCAAGCATGAGTTATTCATCTCAAAAGAGAACGAGTGCGATAAAGTACATACTCGACCCCATTTTTCAAAACCAAGTAGGCTAAGCAAGCAATCTAGCAAGTTAAGCATGTATCGAGTTCATATGGTCCTTTGATATGGTTAATCATTTAACCAATTCATGTCGATATGCAATACAAGTATGCATTATTTATATAGGCATGAGTATGGTAAATACTTAACACATAGTACTTAACACTTAATAATCATGAAATGAGCATGTCCTAGACTTATTCAATTACGTATTCCCATATGGAACACTCACCTAATCCAAAATAAGCGAATGGTCTCAACAAGCGTTTAGGCGTCCGCTCCGAGTTCCTCTTGGAGATTCCCTCGAGTGCCTGAGCAAACAATAATCAAGTACCACTCAATATCACTACGAATCTCTAATTATCGAGGAAGATTGTACGCTAGTGCAATCTAAATCTTATGAAAATGAACCTCAATTACTCGTAAATCGAGGTTCAAGTGGAGTTTCTTAAAGTACATGAGCAATCGAGTTTTCATTTTAGAAATCAAGTATAAAATGTTCAAGTAATATTGAAGGAATAAGGAGTACTTGAAAACTCCCTTCCCTTGGAATTCGGAAAATTTTCAGGTTTGATATGATACTTTGAAAAATTGTATCTCACATTCTACATGTTAAAAATTGGAAAAATTGGTACCATTGGAAACCTACTTGAAAGTACTAAAAGTTCTTAGAAGACACGTTTCCATGATTCTAAATGGAAGATAGTCAAAAATGGGCTCAAATTTACTGTCTCAGAGTATTTAAGGTTGTGTTGGGGTTGGTTTTTCGCTAACTTTGGAAATTCGAAAAAATTCACACGTTGCGAACCAGCCTCTGAAATTTGTAACTCAATTAGAGTTGCAAGTAAGGTTTAGAACAGAATAAGCAGATCAAGAATCGGAGTTTCGAGCACCGAGATATGGTAGCTCAAAGTTGGGGAAAATTCGAAACTGTTGAACAAATTTCCAGATTTGAGTTTCCGACTTTGGGACTTTAGTTAGGTATCGAAACGGACTTGGATGGGTACAAACTTTGGAAATACAACACTCCTATATAAAGGGTATCCCTCTACCAAATTTCATGGAAAAATACCTTTGGGAAGGTAGTCAACTAACCAACTAAAGTTTCGAAAAATTCCTAAGGCAAAGCTGCCTTAAGCTTTTCGTTCTTCATTTCCAAACATTTGGCCCAGAAAATCCTTCAAACTTGGTTCATTTGTGTAGGCAAAGCCTAAGGAACATTCATGGTACATTTGGTAAGTGTTTAACTCCAAGAAATTCAATTGACATGTTCACATCAAGTCAATATTGAATCTGCCCAGAATGTTAGGGTTTCGTATTTTGATCATAAATCACTCAATTCAACTCAGAACTGAGAATAGTTGGTGGCGTTGGTAAGCTCTTTCATAAGGCTAGAATTTCTTAGAAGAAACCATTTTCAAATTCCATTCACAAACAGCTCGTTTTTGAGCATCAATATACAAGTCATGTCCTGTCTCCTGGAGAGAAACGAAACAGGACAGTAATTTTCAATCGAATGGTGTGGCTCACTCAAGTGGAAACAGAATGTGCAATTGGTACCAATGGAAACCTGGGAATGTCTAGTTTTAAATGCCACTGACGGTACTTAATTTCAACATCGGGACACAGAGTTATGAATGAAACAAGAAAGCAGCCTGAGTATTACGGGAACAGTTTCCAGGTCTGCTAACTTCACGAAAATAATTCATTTGACCAACCAAATCTCAATATTTTTCAATGAAATTTTATACACCATCTATACAGCATATAAACATCATATACAAGCCATTAAACCATCAAAATTCAGCAGAAAAGGGTACGACCAAAGCAGGGGCAAAATCAGAACTTTTTACTCCATGCACTCCTTGAAGTTTCTACTAGTTATACACCATTAATCTACCATTTTGAGCACTAAACCAACATTAAATCCATCATCAAGCATGAGATCAGTCCCCAAGACAAAGGTGGGAGTTTATAGAACCCACCCATTTCATTTTACACCATAAACAAGCTAACCAATGGCATAAATGAACTCAACTAGGTAAGATAACCTCCAAATGACAAGTTTCTAAGGTTGGATCATCACTCACTTGGTTGGAGGTTCAAGAGCAGAATTTCGGTCACTCTTTGCTCCAGAAAACTGTGGCTTTTCAGCTCCCTTTTGCAGCTCAAAATACTCTTCAAGTGTTAAGCTAAGTGTGGTGAAATTTTGGTAGGATTTGAGTGAAGATTTGGTGAGGTTTTGTGAAGTAAAAATTGAGAGAGCAATGGTGGTTTGAGAGAGAGGGATGGCCGGCTGAAATGGTGAGTAGAGGGAGAAGAGAGTGATCAGATTTTAGCTTCCAAGAGAAATTTCAAGTGTGTGGCCCATTTGTGCAAAAGTCAACTCTATTACCGCGCGCACTCGCGAGCGTTTCGTGCTCGATTTCTCTCGTATTTGTTTTACTAGTGCACTAAACCTCTAATGCACTTATATTCATATAAATATTATTCACTCTTAATTGTCCCAAAATAAGGGTCCAACGTTCCTCAATTTAAATCGCGCGTATGAAACGCGTATCTCCAATTTAAGCGCGATAACGCGAAACTTCTGAGAAATAACTTCCGAGAAATTCTTATAACGACAGTACTAATAACTATCACTTGAGTATTTAAACATTAAAATACCTAATTTAGGTCCATTACACAAATCTCCAATATTCCAAACTTATTGTACTCTCAATCGGTCAAGATTTCCAAAGACGTGTTCACTATTTTCTCTAAACGAGTTTTCGGAAATTAATTTTTGAAACAAATCACTTAAAAAAATATAATGGAGTTATAATTCCATGTAATTTAGGTTAATAGGGCGAGAAAATAATATTCGGAGAAATCGGGTGAGTAAATACTTATTTGAGCCAATAAAATAAATAAAATAAGCAAAATTTTCGGGTCCTCACAGAAAAGAGACCAGGAAATTCAAAGAAGAGCAATCTAGTGCTGCATCTCAAAGACCTGATCCAAAAATTGAATCAACAAATTTGCTTGGCGATACTTCGAGTGATCCGGATCGAGAAAAAGTCACTATGCCTAATGCACAGACATTAAGGGAGTTGATTGCCCCTAATTTAAATCAGCAGCCCTTATGCATTACTTTTTCGAATTTAAATGATAACACCCCGTTTGAGTTAAAATCTGGTCTAATTCATCTTTTACCATCTTTTCATGGTTTACTAGGTGAGGAGTCTCATAAGTACTTGCAAGAATTTGATGTTGTCTACAATAACATGAAGCTCCCGGAAATTATCGGAAAACAGATAAAAAGAGGGCATTCCCCTTCTCTCACAAGGATTCAGCAAAAGTTTGGATGTACTACTTACCTCCAGGTAGTATCACCACTTGGGAGCAATTGAAAAAAAAAATTCTTGGAAAAATATTTTCCTGCATCTCGAGCTGCAAGTCTGAGGAAGGAGACCTGCTGTATCAAGCAACACCCAGGAGAGTCGCTCTATGACTATTGGGAAAGATTCAAGAAGTTATGCATCAAATGCCCTCAGCATCAAATAAACAAGCAATTGCTTATCTAGTACTTCTACGAGGGGTTACTTTTCAGAAACAAGAGCATTATCGATGCCGCAAGTGAAGGGGCGCTGGTGAATAGGACTCCTCGAGAAGCGTAGGAATTGATTGAAAGGATGGCTCAGAACTCGTAGCAATTCAGTACAAGAGAGGATGTCCCAATATGCAGAGTGAATGAGGTAGAAACATCTTCTAACCAATAGCAGTTATCTGAGTTAATATCCTTTGTTGGGCAATTGATTGTGGGAAATGTACCACAAGCCAAGGTGTATGGGATTTATACGGCTGTGGGTCATTCTACAGAGATATGCCCAATGATTCACGAAGAGAATGCTAAACAAGTGAACATGACTGGTCACACGCCTGTACTAAGAAAGCCATATGATCCGTATTCGAACACGTACAATCCGGACTGGAGAGATCACCCTAACTTTAGTTATGGAAGAAATAGGTAATCAAATTTTGCACCGAATAAATAGTAAGGGTATCAACAGCAATACCAACCTCGGCAGCCACCACCTCCTCCAAGTTCAGGCCCGTCTGTAGAAGAAATGATGAATCAATTAATTTCTAATCAACAAAAGATGGAATCTAACTTGCAAAGTCAAATGGGGTAGATGCAAGCAATGCAAAGTCAGATGAATTAGATAGTAATAGCAATCAACCGCCTGGAATCCCAAGTTCACGAAAAATTGCCGTCTTAACCTGAACTAAACCCGAAGAACATAAGTACAATGACTCTAAGGAGCGGGAAGGAAATTCAGGGATCTGAACTCGTGACCCCAAAGGACAAGGATGAAGAAAAGATTGAGAAAGAGCTTGAAGAGGAGGACAGAAATAGCAAAAATCCAGTAATACTTCCTGACCCAATCATTGAGGTTAAAACTAATCCGCCTTCCTTTCCTTGCAGGTTGGAGAAACCGAAGAAGCTGAACAAGGAAAAACAAGTGCCAAAGTACGCCAAATTTTTAAAAGATTTATGAGTCAACCGAAGAAGGCTAACGAGAGACGAAAGAGTTATTATGGGGGAGAACGTGTTAGCGGTTCTACAGAGGAAGCTCCCACCGAAGTGCAGGGATCCAAGTATGTTTACTATCCCCTGTAGGATAGGTAATATTTTAATTAAAAATGCCATGTTGGACTTAGGAACATCGATCAATGTAATGCCTAGATCTATTTATGCTTCTTTGAGCCTGGGTCTGTTAAAAGAAATTGGGATAATAATCCAATTAATTGACCGAACGAATGTATATCCTGATGGGTTGATCGAAGATATGTTGGTTAAAATTAATGAATTGGTATTCCCAACTGATTTTTATGTATTTGACATGGATGATGATTATTCTCTCAACCCTTCACCTTTGTTGTTAGGTAGACCCTTCTTGAGTACTGCTCAGACTAAAATTGATGTTAGTAAGGGCACTTTCACAATGAAATTTAATGGAAAAGTAGTCTACTTTAATATTTTTGATACAATGAAACATCTTGTTAACTCTCATTCTGTGTTTGTCATTCATGCTACTAATCCCTCTGTACAAAAATTTTTTGAATTCGATTGTAAGGATAAATTCAAAGTTGCTGCGAACTAGTATCATGGGATGAAAGCATTTTATGAGGTGAAAATGAGTGGAAAGTTAAAGAAAATGGTTAAAGAAAATTAGTATATCTCATACTAATGGGCTTTTTCATGCCTATTTGCAAACAAGAGAACTTACATTCTCACATGAACTTAAGAGAACCATTCCACTTTGTGATGCCATTGCAACGAAGTCCTCATTTGTACAACGCCGTACTCATTTTAATTTATCCCCAGGAACCTTTAAAGTAACATCTCCTGTTTGATCTGAATTAAACTAGAAATAGTTACAATTCAAGCAACAAAAAATTGAGAAGGGACAAACCAATTGTATTGCTATGATTCTAGTAGATCCAGTGGCGGAGCCAGAAAAAATTTTCAGTGAGTGCAAAAGCAATACTAAAATTTTTTACCTACACTTTTTCTAGATTTTTAAGGAAAAAAATATTCACAAACAAGCACAAATGATGGATATATTTCATGAAAAACATAAAATAGACAAATTCAAAATTATTAATGTAATAATAATTTTATTTCAAAAAGCAAACTAAACCATTTACAATTGCTCATGACGAGTTTTCATATTTTGATAACGGTTTACAATCTTTTCATTTTGATCTTCACGAAGTATACTTTTCTCAATATAAATAACTAAACAATTATTCATCCAAATGTCTTCCATTCTATTTTGTATATTTTTCTCAATATAAGGAACTAAACAATTATTCATCCAAATATATTCCATACTATTTTGTAACTGATTCTTCACTATATTCATAATTGAAAAAACCCTTTCTACAGTAGTTGTAACAACAGATAAAATCAAAGGCAACCTTAAAAGCATATAAACCAATAGATACACAAAACTCCAGGGGCACACTTGAAATTATATCAAATTTTTATAGGTATTATAGAAATTTAAAAGCCCCCACTGCCCCGTTGTAAATCCGCCACTGAGTAGATCTGATCGATGAGAAGTAGTTCAGAGAAACTTTCTTGACGTAACCATTCACAGTAAGCATTAAAAGAAATTGGTCTCCAGAAAATTCACTCACTGGAATGATTGATGTTATTCTCTCACCATCAGACGATGATAAGATCAGGATTTCGAGCAAAAACAAATTAACAGATATATGAAGGTTATAATCAGAAGCTTCCCTGCAGAAGTACATTCAGATACCTGAACTAGCGTTGCACCAGCTGCAGCTCGAGTGCATTCAGGAATTTTGTTGGCCCGAGCTGAGTAAACTATTCCCTCGTCACTGCCAAGAATGGAAAAGCTCACAAGATGAACCAAATACATATTCATGATCGAATAAGGGCTAATCACACATTAATCTGCTAAGGCAGAAAAGGATAAATGATAAAATATAGTAAGCATTACTGACACCAAGAAATACGCCATATCCATTTCAGTAAGTAGAGGACAGAAAACACCTTCACCAAATAACTAACAGTAAAAGTATGACTTGCAGAAGAATACCTGAAATACAAGACAAGGTCATGGGCATGACAGACGAGAAAATCAGACATGGTATCATTATCTCTGAGTTTTCCTACTGATTTGCCAATAGTTCCCCGGTTTTGAAGATTAAAGGTATCAGACTTCATTCGTTTGACATAACCCTTCTCACTAATTGCCTGAAATTGAAACATGAAACCATTGGTGTAACAATGCAACAAAGAACAATGTGTGACAAAATGGACAGAACAAAGCTAAACTACCAATAGCATTTCCTCATTGGGGATAACATCTATATCTTCAACTTGGTTGCTCTCTGAGTCCTCTAATGTCAAACGTCTTGTGGTCACAAACTTGTTCTTTAATTCAATCGCTTCTTCTTCTATCAGCTAAATTGCATGAAGAAAATAATAGTTTTTTAAAAGCATGAACTGTAAAATGAATGGCAGCGAAACGAGCACTAACATATTCAATGCACATTACTGCAGCAATGAGGCCAAAAGAAGGGGACAAAATCAATGTAAGATTGAAAGTAATATTGTTTTAGGAAAAAAAAAACTAATGTCAGAAAAGGTAAATTGGAGAGCATTTCAAGATATAATTAGATAATATCAGTCTCTTTGTCCAACAGCAGATAAACAAACTTCACCTCTATATTCACCAATTGATTCTTGGCTAAAGCTAGATTAGATGCAGATCAAAGTACTTTAATTGACTACCAAAGGCAATCCTGCAACATAAAACAAAACAAGATACAATTTCTTCTATACAACAATCTTACCTGAAGTATTTGCTTTTTGCTGGACAAAAGCTCCAGCAACTTGGATATTTGATCTGTCAAATTTTTTCTCTCATCAACAAATTTATTTCTCTGCATAATGGCAACACAAGTTTTCACTACCACAGGATAGTTCAGTTACAGCTCGAGAGATGCTGTGATACAGAAGTTAAAAGAACATCTAAAAGTGCAAAGGACTATGCGGCAGAATTATGACAAACCTCAAGGAGTGTTAGTCTTCTCAGGCTAATATCCAAAATAACTTCAGCTTGTTTCTCTGACAAATTGAATTCTGGAAAAAGAGCAAAGTTATCAGGTGTAAATTTTCATATATATACTTTTTTTTTATTTTTCAAGCCTCAAATGTAAAGAGTATACTTTCATTGATCTCGTGAATATTATCTTAGTGATCTAAATCCTTGAATAAGAGCACTGTTAACACCAGTGCATGGTGAAGAAGCGCAGAGCTTCCCCGAGGAGAGCTGACCTGATCAGCTCGGGGTGTCGATGGGAGAACTGATCCAAGACCTGCAACACAGAGAAGATGAGCTAAGGAAGGGGGCCCGAGGGTTGTCCCCGAGGGCGCTCCGACGGCCAAGTTAGTTTTCCGGAGAGTAAGGTTCACGGGGAGTAGCAACTATCTAGAATAAATTGTCAATGGTGAGCGTACCTTGTACGGTGGATGTGTGCTATTATTTATACCTGCGAGGGAGTCCGACCTCCGCACGACGCGGGACTTGCCCAGTATAGATATTATCCCGCACTCAGGGGGATTACTCCCGACCTCTTCGGGACGGACCTTCGTCTCCCCTGGGAGCCCTAGCCAGCGCGGCCCAGGGCTGCTGCCAGGGGTCTGGGGGCCAAGGCCCAACTCGGCCATTCCTGGGCTGCCACGTGTCTGGGCCCGGAATGGGGCCTCTGCACTAGCCCCCTAGATTAGGTAGGACTGTCAGGCAGACCTAATCTACCTCTGCCACGTGGGAGGCCAGAGCCGCGCACTACTCTGCCGAGGTCACTTCTGGTACAGTGCTGTCACAGGGACGCTTCGCCCGCGTCCTTTCAGCTGTCCCGCCTCTTCGGTTTTCGCACCAGCATTAAATGCGTTCACATGGGGGTCGGTTCAAATACGCAACCGTTTTCCCTCCACTCTTCCTCCTATAAATAGGGGAT